CAGCGGAATACCAAACCGAAAAAGACACCGAAACATGAATGTACAGTTATTTTACTGGATGTTGGTTCTAATATGGCTCACCCTGTACGGGATACCTCGACTCCAGCTATTTTTTATGCCAAAGAAATAGTTGATTGGGTGCTAACAAGAAAAGTTGGTGTTCCTTCATTATTTACCATCGTCGGCGATGAAATTTAAAAGCATTTAAGTAGCTGTTGTTTGCTCGCTCTAAATTCTTAATTCAAAAATTACAAACTGTTTTAAAGATATTTACGGAGTCTCCAGACGAGTTTGTTCTGGTTCTTTTTGGAAATAACGAGACTAAAAATCCTTTCTCCAGTACTTTAAACATATATTACTGTGAGGAAGAGATGCAGTTGCCGACGTTTGATTGGCTGAAATATCTCGAGAATGAGGTTAAAGTGAGCGAAGAAGTCGAAGGGGACTGTAAGTTTCACTCTTACCATACTTCGTTCATTGTTGCTGGTTTTGAGCGAAAAATAGATTGCTTTAGCTTTTCGTTGTTTTGTAACATAAATGAAGTTAAAGACTTCTTGTCGTTTGCTTGCTAACTTTTTTCCTCAATCCGATGCTTTTTTTTTCTTTTTTTTTTTTGCTGTGTTCTTCAGAACTGCAGCTTCTTTGTTTAAGATGATTAACACCACAGCTCCTTCAGGGTAAAGGTATGTTCATTTCAGTTCTCACAGCTCTGATCGAAGCTGTAGATTTTATGCGGTCCTCCTTGAAATCAAAGGCAGAAAATGTCGTCACAGGAATAAATATCTTATTGGTCACTAACTTACTGGGCCATAACTTAGGAGGGTCACAAGAAGATTTCGATGACGCAAACGCTGCAATCAACGGAATCACGTCTTTAAATATTAGTCTGAGTGTCATGTAAGTGATCACTATGTCATCTTACATCTGTAATCTAAGAAATTAGTTAATTCATGTTTTTTTTATTTTCAGTAGCTGCCTTATCAATTCTGCTTAGAATGTTCCTCACATATTTTTTCTAGAGGCCCCGACATTCAGTGTATGGAAGAAAATTTAGACGATGAAGCCATGCCAGAAAGCGAACAGTCTGTAGCTAAGGAGGATGTAAAACTTACTTTTAACGAGCGACTACTGACTCATATAGTCGAGGGGTGCAAAGGAGTTGCGTACTCGTTCAGGTCGGTTTTTCTTTATACATTCTACTTGTTTTATTTCCTCTGTCAGTCTGGTTTTCTTGCTGCTTATCGAACAGTACTGATTTATTTATAGCGAAGCGTTGCCTATATTGCAACATTTTGTTCCACGGCGAGTCACAGCAAGAGGCCAAAGATTTTTATTCGAAATTGGTGAAGGCGTCATGTTACCACTCTTGTTTTACAAAAAAATACAGCTTGCAGACATGAATTTGAAATTTAAAAAATTTGACGTTTCTTCAAATTCTGAGGTTGTTATTACTACTTTAACACTATTTTCGCTTCTACTTTAGTTATTTTGGTGTCATAAGCTTAAATGTATCGGTTGCAGAAAATCTTTAACTTTTTACCAAATATTTTCACTCTTCGTACAGGTGAAACGCGAGACTGTATATGAAAGAATTTGTTCGGAAGATGATGATACTTTGGGGAATGAAAGGGGTTTTTCAAAGCCATCTTTGTTGACGAAAGAAGACGTGGTTAGGGGTTAGAAGTCAAATTTCTTCTATTATATAGTTTTATATCATTTACGTTATTATAAAAGAATGGATTTTATGATTTCCATTTTTATTTGTAGCGTTTATACTGCTTTTCTGCTCACTCAGTAAATTTTAAATATTACAGTCTCATTTTTTAGTGTTAATAGATTTCCTAAACATGGGTAATTGTGAGTGGTACTAGTTCCAGTCTTAAACTTGATTCACTTGGAACTTTTTCTTTTAAAAACTTCAGTTTTTTTTTGTTTCTTTCATACTGGAGTCGTAGCACTTGACTTTCCATTTCTTTAAAATTTACAATTTTACACATTTGCTGTGAAAAGTCAAACAGCCCTAGCTTCAATTGGCACATTTTTTTCAGGCTACACTTTTGGTGCGACAATCGTACCGTTTAATGATGCTGATAGAGAGGAATATGGTTGGAAAAAGGAAGTTCGGAGTCTTCGTCTCATACAGTTTTCGCAGCGATCTCAGGTTTGCTTACCTCATAATTTTTTAGGCCAAAGATTACACATTTTTTGGAATTGCGATGTTCAAATTGCATGTTTTGTTTTTCTAGCTTTATTGACTCTGCCAACATTCCTAAGTATTTGATTAAACAAAAAGTGTAGGAGTGAATTAAGACTGATAATTTTGAGAAGATAGGAAAATTTTTTGAAACTTTTGTCACATTACTGTTCTTTAAATTTCTTTCAATTATTGAAGAACTACTTTGTTTCAGATATTACATCATTATTTAATGGATGGCACAGCGTATTATTGTATTCCTCCTCCTGACGATAAAGTAGGTTACAGTTAAATCGTCATTAAAGATTAGTTACTAAAGATAAAGTCTTCAGTATTAACTGCATCTTAAAATTGCTATTATTTTCCGTTCCAAAATATCAAAAAGTTTTGTTACTGGATTATAATCGATGTGCTGAGTTCCCTACACGTGATTTTGGTTAGACAAAATTAAATAGTAGTTACAAGAATTTTCATTTTGTCTTTAATTTGATGTGTTTGTTAAGAGTTTGGCTAATTTTGCAGACAGTTTACGTCAGAAGGTTAGGAAATTTATTTACCTCTTTTGGAAACTCATTTATTTTGGCTGTGCATCTTCTGCAGTGCACGAAATCTTCACTAAGTACTGACATGAGATGTGTAGTTCGATTGTTTGATACTTTCTTTATTAGCAGTTTAACGGGCTAGCCTAACGATTAACTGTAGTGGTTTTGAGGATTTATTGCATAATTTTTCTAGAAATTTGAGTAAATAATTTTCAGGATGGATGTGTAGCTGTTTCTGCATTAGTTCGGGCTCTTGTTGAAGAAGATAAAGTTGCTATAGCTCGTTATGTTTATAACGCGGCGTCTCATCCTCGCTTACTGGCTCTTTTTCCGAAAATTAGCAAAAAAGGGGTTGATGTAAGCCTTTTTTAATTTTTTAAAATTAGTCAGACGGATTGACAACTTTTGGAGCTTTTGGAATTTTGGTTGCAATTTTTAGAGTATTATGCACTGTCTGTTATTTTTTGCTATTCTAATCCTGCATTTTTTCCCTATAGTTGATGAGATCGATTAAGTAAAAATAATCAATTGTGGTTACTGTTGGTGCTTCTAGATGTTTATTGGAATACAACTTCCGTTTTATGATGATTTTCGTGGTTTAGAATTTCCTGCCTTGGAGAACTCTACTTCTGAGGTTAAAGGTGTGCTTTTGATAGTTTGGCACAGCTTTTTATGTGGTAATTCAAGTAACAGTTTTGTCGATTTTTAGCTTTCAAGTGTTGTTGAAAAATTTTTTGTTATCTAGTTTATCAAGAAAACGGCCATGGTTGTACTTTGTCGGACTAAGAGTAGTTAACAAGTATATTCTTGTATATTCTTAGAGGAAGAACTGAAGAAGCGTTTTTTGAGGTAGTTTTTGATTGGTTCTTTTTATATGAAATGCTCTCTTGAAAAGAAAAACGGAAGAGTGATAAGAACAAATTTTGAAACATTTGCCAAATACAACAATTCTTCTCAGCTGAAAATTATGATTTTTCGTTGTATCGACATCGCGGCCATGTTGAAAAATCTCAAAAAGTATCCTTAATCATAAGACGCAAAAAACCCCTTTTTCTAGCAGTTACAGTTAGAAACGGAACGTTTTTGCTGTGAAATAAGTTTAGGGAAATAATATCAGGAAAGCAAAAGGCAGACGAAAAGCTCTACAGTAGGGAAAGAGTTGCTGTCGAACATAATAAAACGTAATAGGGAAATAAACCTAACGGGACTTGCAATCGGATGTAATGTAGCATTACAGTGTATGAAAAATTTCGAAGAAGTGTTCTATAGTGCCAGTTGAAGAAAGTGTATAAAATTTGCAGTTTCTTTGTTAACGAGGTGTATGGAGTAATTCCATAACACTTCACAAGAATAAGGTATTATTAGAAACTTTTTAAAATGTTATTGAAGTTCCTGTTCTTTGTTGCAGCTGAGCAAAGTCTTGCAGTAGAAGCACTAATTAAAGCAATGGATCTTTCCAACTCCTACTTGTGAGTCTTTAGTGCTATTTCCTTATTTTTCTTCCAGTTGCTGGTTGATAAGCCGGTTTAATGCTTTTTTTTTCACTTTTGCTTACAGAGATCCGGAAACTAATGAATATGGTGAGGATTTGCGCCCAAAAAATGTGCCTAATCCGAAATTGCAAATGCTTTGCGAGGCAGTAAAATTTAAAGCTTTGCATCCAAACGAGCGCTTACCCCGGTTTGAGTGTAGGATTCTCGATGAACTCCTCAATCCTCGGCCTCAAATAAAAGAGAAGGCTAAGTAAGTTCTAGAATTTACGGAAGAATTTCTAACGTTTTAAAATAAGGTATGATTATTACTAGCTGTTTCAGAGAACCACTGTCATTAATAGAAAAGTCGTTTCCTCTAATTCAAATGAAAAAAACGAAGAGATCAGATAGCCTTGATGAATTTAATGATGACTCAATGCCAGGGTACATTATTTTCTTGTTGATTGTGGCACTTTGCTTTTTAATGATGATGTGTACATCACTCACTGTTCTTCTTTAAAATTACGGTTTCTAGTTTTGGGAAAGACCAGAGTTCATTGCCGAGCAGCGGACATTTTATCACTACGGATGATCTTAAGATGGAAGAGTAACAAATGATAGTAGCCGACGGCGCTCATTACATTTCTTAATAGAAGTTCAACAACGTCGGGCCTGGAGAGCATTGTCTCAATTAATGAATATTTTTGAAAAGAACTCACGCAGTCACTTTCTTGGAAAATGCCTTATTTTACAAAACTTACGCTCCTCAACGGCTAAATCGTTCAAATTTGGAATGTGTCTTTTGTTAAGTCCTTCGTTCCTTAAACCCTCTACATTGTGTCTATTTCGTGTTATCTCAGCAAGTTCTTTTGCGCAATAGCTCCCACTTCAAGATAGAATTGTTATTCTTCTAATTACTTCCACCTTGCCAGTTGGTCAAAGAGCTGGAAAGACGTCTTGATACCATTAAGAAGAGGCGTATTTTATAAAACTCTGTTTTTTCTACATGTATGAAATTTAGATTTTATCACTGTTCGTTACTGAAGTAAAATGCTTGGTTGCTAACTTTAAGCATCCATCGCCTTTAAAACTTTCGTTTTGTAACTCATACCGCTGCACCTTTTTTCACTTGGATGCCAGTCTTTTATATATTAGCTTTTGCCTAGTCGTAATGACATTTTTGCTCTAAGGTTATTGTAGACAGGGCAATTTTTGATGTCACTGGTTGCTAAATGAGGAGCATTTTTGAAAAGGAAATCCATACTTTTTGCGTTGTTCTGACCCAAAAAGTTTCAATCCAGTGGTTAATTGGCGCAGTCACTTAAAGAAAATGGGTAGATTTTGGTTTAGTAAACTTTGACTGTGTGTTTTTATATGTTTAAACCAAATGTGGTCTTTTTTTATTTGAAAAGTTACTTCATTTCCAGAATAGAAAATTCATGCATTTTAAACAGCAAAAGTTGCTTTGCGATTCAGATAAAATTATTAGATGAATTAGGTATGTGCCTTCAGAATAAACAATTTGTTTAAAACAAGCAAGTAATAAGCGCCTCTGAATTGGTTGGTGACTGTGAGATATCTTTCAGAATGGCACTTTCTAGTGAGTTGTTTAAAGGGGTGTTGGAGGCAGAAGAGCAACTGAAGCAATAGGTAAATAATTTGTAGCTCTATAAGGCTCTTCAAAAAAATGTTTTCTGAACATTTACCTGCCATGATGCTTAGGTACCCGTCCAGCGATGCTTTTTTTCGACGGCCTTTCTAGTGCCATTTTGGAAAGTACTCAGACAGGTGGGGAAATAATTCGAAGCATCTTTGCTCCAGTTCTGTTTTGGTACTTAAATAACCTTAGCAAACGATGCTGGAACTGGTGACGTCTGTCTCCTGACCAGTATTTTCTGGTCTACAAAAGAAACTCGTACAAAGGAGTATTCTTTCAACTGGTCGAGCAGTGAAAATAACCTATCATTATTTTAACGGTGTGGAAAAAGTTAACGGTAAGGCATGCAACCATTCGACCGTTCCCGTGTACATCTGAGTTTCAAGGAGCAGTGGGAAGAGTTTTCCTCTAGTCGACTAGTGTTTAAGCGTATACGTAGTTTTCACGCTGGTAAAAAAATGTCTCATATAAAGGTCAAGAACGACTACGATGGTGATCTTCAAGGTCTGGTGAGATCCACGTGGGTGCTGTTGCGCAAACGAGACCTAGAACGTTGAGATGTAATTCGTGAGGTGGACTTTGTATCTCTTAACCTTAAGGCACTAGTAGGAGCGCTCATTTCGCTGGCATAACAAGAAGACAACTTTTGATCTTGATTCTTGTTTGCAGGGGCTACTTGTTTCTGTTGCTCAAAAATGGCCCCGAAAGGTGGCTTTGTCTGATTCCATTACAATCATTTCAGTTTCCCTTTGTTGGTGTTCCCATTTTATCGCCAGGGAATCCGTATCTCTGCAGAAATGCTCTGTTCATTACAGTACAGTCTACGTGCAGAGTAAATCTTGCTTGACAAAATAAATGCTTCAGAAATCCTTTCACAGGACTCAGTTTTATAAATTATTTGTTTTTCGTTGCCGTGCGATCACTGGATAGGCATTCTACAAAGTGATAAAGCTAGAGCCTGACAAACAAGCGATTGAAGGACTAAGAAAATAATGAAAATACCTGTTATTTCAGCTGATAAACCAGTGATAGAGCTAATGCTAGCTGCCAGCGAAATTTTACTGGGAAGCGCACTGAAAAAGGACAACAGCGGAAACAAACAAGAATGAGGTATTTTCTACAGTGGAAGTATAGTGACGGTCAGAAAAGTCCAAGAATTGTGGCACTTCTCCGGGGACGCCGGCAAACTCGTTGCTCTTTCTCTTTTGTGATATGTGCTAATTCGAAACTCGTCGACGTCGTTATTGTAGCCTTCCAATGCTACAGCTTCTGCATTGTCGATTGGCCAACTGCAGTTGCAGCAATGTTTTGTTGTTGCTGCTGCAGTTGCAGTTGGGGGTCCACTTTATATCACTGTTGTGTCTTCAATGTTCCTTCGTTTCACAAAACCGAATCCTGAATCGATATGTTTTGAAATTAAGTTCGTGTTTTATACGCAATATCAGAGTTGTGGAAAATTTTTCAGCCCTCTCTTTACGACGTCTGGTTGGTTGCGTAGTTAAACTGTACGCAAATTGAAATTGATCTTTTAGTCATTAAAGTGTTTTAGGGTTTGCTGGAATTGCTGATCGTGATTTGTGACTTAAAAGAACTTGTTTCATTGCTGTCAAGAATATTGTTTTAAATAACTTTGTCAACTCGAATGCAGATGGATTTTAAATCTGGGGATGAAGAGATTGTATTTATCGGAGTAAGTGTAAAAGCTACTAAAGTAAAACAAATCGAATTTTTTTTCTGCGGATAAAAAAAAATAAGACTTGAATTTTCTGCGCAAAAATTATTAGCTGAAAGGATTCGAGAGCTTGAAGTACTGAAATACCAAAGGTGGTGAACCATGTTTTTCAGAGTTTAGATGAGTACAAAATCTGTTTGCAATTGAATAAATGATGGTTCTGTAGAAACTCATTGTTTTTTGCGCTGTTTGCATTAATGCTGATATATTTTGTTTTTTTCAGAGTTTCCATCCACTTTTTTCACTCGTTTTTGAAATTAATATTCATTTCTCAGTGTTTGGAGCAGCTTTGCAGATATTTAAAACAGTGCTGTATGCTTTACTTGAAAGTTAAAACTGATTTTTCATTTCAGGAGTGCCAGCGGTTTTCCAATAAAGATGAAATTTGGGATGACAATGCTGTCATAAAAATGTATGATCAGTGCATACAGAGAACATATGTGAGCTGTTTGTTTTTTGTCGTTAGAATCATGAATTGGAATAATAGTAATTTTGTGTTTTCCAAAAACGTAAATTCGCATAACCTTATTTTTTTACAATCATTCTTATCGTATTAACTTCTTAAATTGTTAAATTTGCAGGAGAAGGTTGAAGAAGACGGTCTTTCAGCTTCAACTGGCTCTAAAAGAAAACAGAAAAAAGTACGTTTTTATAGTTTTAGTATATTTCGTCTGTATTCACTTTTTCAAAGTTATTTAAAATTTTGAGATGTTTCTTCATTCTTTGTCCTTTAACTTACTCTTACACGACTACATAAGCATTGACTTAGTGGCATGTTGGTGACCTTTGTCTTGCTCCTTATTATGAGGATAATTTATGGTACCCAGCGGTAATAGAGGAAGTTTCAAGCGATACTTGTAAGGTATTATATGAAGAATATAACGAGACAGCACAAGTCAAACTTGTAGAGTTGGAACCGTATGTCTCTTATATTTCTTTTAAGGATTCTGCTAGAAAAACCTTTTAATACTTCCATTTTTTCTAGTCGAGAAGAGGAAAGCGAAACCTCCGAAGATATAGATCCATCGAAGTCGGCGAAGCACGGAAAGGCGAAAACTCAAAGGTGTAATACTGGTAACGGCGAAACAGCCAGTGGGTTTCCAAGTGGCTCAAAAACTGCAAAGGATTTTGGAGTGGATTCAGTCAAATGCTGTTTCCCTCCTTTGGAGGTTGTTGAACCGAATTTAAAGAAATTTAACAATCTTGCTAAGTTCATAACTGTAAATTTTTTTGGGTAAAGATGCCTACTTCGGTCCCTCCACCCCCGCCGATGTTTTCTGGGATACCACCACCGAACGATGAAGAAGCATTTTCTAATATGCTACTTTCATGGTATATGTGTGGTTATCATACCGGTTATTGTCAGGTGATTGTTATTAAAGCAGCTATTCCTAGCAAGATATTTTTTTATTTCATTTCTAATCAGTTATTGTTTCTTTTTCTACAGGCGATTCAGAACGAAAGGAAGAAGAAAATGGACACTTGCAAGGATCTGCCTCCATCTTGACCACCTCCCCAGAGATTCTGGGATGGTTAAATGAAGTTCCAAGTAACTACAGCGGGAATAACTCCTTTAGGAATCCCAAGCCAACGACATGATTGTAATTTACGTCAACATTCCTTTTGTTGAGATTGTTCATTGGACATCTGCAGCAACAATGATTGTCGCCCTTGTTCACCTTATCATAGAGTTCCGGGCTCAGTGGAGTCGTAGTTTCCTCATGAGCTTCCTCAGTCATTCCATAAGAATCTTTTTGAGCCGTCATTTTCTTTCACAGAATCTGTTGGTTATTCTTTATAAATCAGTGCAAGGATAAATTAACTTTTCAAACAACTTCACCCCAATTTCCCCAGCAAGTTCATCGGGTTTACTGGTGGCAAGTTGAGTGAGCCACTGCAGTTCAACAGGTTCTTTTGATTTTGAAACTTCTCAAAAATCACTCTTATATTACTTACAGCCGCCCGGTGCACAAAACCATCCATAAATCACTGAAATTTTGCATTGCCTCACGGCCCTGTGCTTGAGCAAAAAGTCTAATTCTTTACATGAAGCCCCGGGTCAACGTGCGCTACGTGGAATCAACATTCACAGAATGAAAGGAAAACTCATATCTTGGAAGCCCAAAGCTCCTTCACTTGAGTTACCGGGTCTTTTTTATGTAGTAGCTCAATGACCAATTATTAGCTTGTTTATTGGATTATATTTTGTATAAGAATACAAAAGATATAAGAAAACGTCTGCTTCTTGCTAGATTTTACAAAGCCAAAACACACTGCTCTGTAATGCCTGCACTTTATACATTGGCACCAGTAACCTGTCGACCAACCAAGAGTGCCATGAAGAAAACAGTAATTAGAAAAGTTTCAAGTGAGCAAAAATGATGCAGCCCTGCCTTAACAATCTCTTGTTCCACCACTGGCACGACTCAGCTTAGCTTTTTTAAGTGAAAAGTGCCTCTTACATGGGTTTCAAAAACAACTACAGCTTATCTTTTCAGCCGTAACATCAATGAACACATTCAATGCTTGACGAAGTTGTTACAACAGCGTTATAATGAAGACACCTGTAAAGGCCAAAAGCGATATATTTATGGAAAAATCATTTAGTTTGTTAATCAGATGCACAAAAATCCTGTTCAGCAAATATTGGGAGTTGAATGGCAGACAGTGGTTCTCGAGCAAGCACTTGGTCGCCCTTCTGAACATGCTCTTGTATCCAAATGTGGTTTATCACTCCTACCAATGGCAACCTCTCTGAGGGTATCCGCCTTAACAACTAAAAACCCGTCTTTGAGTAGCGTATAAATAAATGGAATGAAGGGAACTTCATCATAATATGAGAATAGAAAAGCTGATTTTTACGCGCGCAAGAAAAATCCAAAAGCATTTGCTAGTTGGATTTCACTAAATCGCAGCTTAAATTCTTCTTTGGCAGAAAATAAAGGAAATCCAATTTTCAATCGTCAATTTTGTGCCATTATTTTACATCTGAAAGAGACAATTTTTACTAGTTTTAAGAAGGAAAAGCACGAGCTTACTCTTTGAATAAGATCTCGGGCATTTTGGGAGACGTGTGAGGGGAAAGAGTATTTACAGCTGGTAATTAGGCGGTAGGTTTCATTGCTCGTTTTGCTTTCAAAGGGTGGTCGGCCAACAAGGAACTCGTAGCACAGGACTCCAAGAGACCACAAATCGACCTATAAGCAAAACAGTTGAGAAGAGATTAACTAGCCATTTACTAAACTAATCTGCACAACTGTTTGTTAAAATTAAGTATTAGTAATAAGCAAAATACCTTCTCGTCGTGTACACCACCTGCTATCATTTCTGGCGGAAGATAGTCAAGCGTACCACACATAGTTGCACGCCTATAAAAATAAGCTAATTAGTAACAAATTCCGGACCGAAATTAAATGGAAGAATAAAAATTAAACTCCAGTGCAGCAAACCAAACAGATATTAAACACCAAAACACATCCCTTTTCAAAAGTGATTTAGCACAAGTCAAAAAATTTTCAAAAAGAGTCATCTTCGGAAGCATTTCTAACCTCGAGGATGGGGCATGCACAGACCAACCAAAATCAGCTATTTTCAACTCGCCATTTAGACCAAGCAGCAAATTTTCAGGCTTGATATCCCTGTGAATAACTTTCTTCGCGTGACAGTAAGCGAGAGCATCTGCCATTTGAAACATTAACTAAAATCTAAGAACATTAAAACATTACTTTTTAAGATGTAATATCACGTTTGACTAATGGAGTTACAGAGAGCAATCACTGTCAGGGACCTTCTCTTAGTCGAAAACAGAAACAGCATACTGTGAATTATTTCTGTAAAAAAAAACAAAATAAATTACTGAAAGAAATATAAATGACCGTAAAATCAGACATACAGCTGAAAAAGAGATATTTTGAACTACCTGCTACACTTCAGAGATCTAAAGACTACGTCTCCTTCTATGTCTGTCTAATTTCAAAACGGAATGGAAAAAAGTTAGTGTTTCACAAAAAAACTAGAAGTAGACAAGCTTTCTGCACGCAGAAAAGTACAACCTTTGCAGCACGATCCTCAGGAAACCGTTGACATTTTTGGAGCTCCTTATAAAGCTCACCTTTTGCGGCATATTCAAGAATCAAGTAAATCCTTTTTTCGTCATAAAAATAATTATACATACGAAGGATATGAGGATGCCTGAAATAAAAAAAAAAAACTTATTGCAGTTTCAAAGTGAACGCGTTTCAAGAAAAAATTACAAAGATTTTGAAATGGGGAAGATGGGACATTTTGCATGAACAAAGAATATCGCAAAACAAGCTTCAAATGAAAATTGCGATGGAGACAACTTAATTTTTACTTTAAATGAGCCTGTATTTCTATTTCTCTGCGAAGTTGGTGTTCAACGTTTGATTTGACCAGCTGAGATTTGAACAGGATCTGAACAGTAACGCCAATGTAATAATTTTTTGATACGCGATGCCCTTACAGATGTCAACAATTTTTTGAAAACCAGACTCGCAAGAAAATTAAGAAATAACGATCAATTTGATTGACTCAAGGTTACAAGACCAAAAAAACACTGATTACACCTCAAAGGTAAAATTGGTCATAAATTTTGTAAAAACATTGCTGTTACCTTTAAAGCAACGATATAATGGTTTTCTTTGGAACGAGCAAGATACACATTGCCAAATTTACCTTTACCTAACGGACGCCCAATATCAAAATCCTTCAACGTGAATTTTCTTCTGTAATATTTTTTGTATGGATACGAATTGGAAATTACATTTTATTTCACAAGAAGATGTTAACTAAATATAATCACAAAAAAAAAAAAAAAAAAAAAAAAAAAAA